ATAGGACTTCTACTGGGAAATCTGCTAATCACCTATTGGAATTCTCTTTATAGAATCTTTTTCTCTTGATCCTGTCACTATTTTCCTTTTAACCCTGACTTAAAGTTGTTCTATTGTATTCTTGATATATTTTTCTTTGGGTTGGTTCTCTTCAGGGATTTTTGAGGAATGCTATATTCCTCCTAAGATTTGGGAATTTTCAACCATTTTTTTTAACTTTCCTCTCACACTGGGTCTTATTTAACATATCTGAATCTGTTTTGCTACTGGATGTCTGTGTTCTCTAAAAATTCACATGTTGATATCCTAACCCATGAAGGAACTGGTAATATAAGATGGAGTTTGGGGAAGGTGACTAGGTCATGATAATAGTTCTAATGAGTAGGATTGGTTTCCATATTCAAGAATTGTCAGAGATAACCTTTTTTCTTTTTACCATGGGATAACAGAAGGCTGTCAATAAGTGAGCAAACAATTAGCAAGCACTAGATATTCTGACACCATTGCCTTTGGCTTCCTCAGCCCCTAAAATGTGCAAAGTTGTCTATGAGAAACTGAATTGTATTCATTTGCACAGAACCCCAAATATCAGAAAATTTATTCTGAGAAAGTTAGATGCTTCTGTAACAGAGAAAACTACTGAGATGTATTTAGAGGCTGAAAAAGTCCCAAAACATCAGCTCTCCTATTGAGAGTGATTTCAGAAAGTATCCAATAGGAAATAAACTGAAAATAAAGCTTGCATGTGATAAAATAAGATGTTAGACTTTGGAATCTATCGAAGGTAAGTATTCAGGTTCCGGTCTGCTCCCCTCTACCACTGGAGTAAAGTTGGTGAAGAGAGAAATGGTATAAAGATAAAACTATCAGAAATTTCGAAAACAGAACTTCAGAACCATCAAATAGTCTCAGTTTAGTCATATGCGAAACATGAGAATGCTGTTTGGAGGGAATCCAAAGGGTGTGATCAAATTTGACAAGAAAATACATGAGTTATATACCAAGACAAGAGGGTAGCCAGCTGCTTAAACAGATGCCCGAAAGAGAAGAGAATCACCATGAAGACATCCTAGAGCTAATCAGGATATCTTTTCCATTACAGACCCAAAGTGCAAGGATCTGAAATGCATGTTTTGAAAGGAGATTCTACTGCTCATGTCAGGGAAATGTTCCCCCAAAGCAGTAGAGTAGAACCACTAGCCTGTGATTCTAACCTGTAACACCACGGGCACCTCACTCTACCCAGAAGAGCTTTGACATTAATGGGGACAGGCTTTTCCTGCTTGTGGTTAAATGGTAGGTGCAAATGAATCCACAGTGAAGTGTGAGTCCAAAGCATAATGATTCTACTTGTATCCTTTTTTTGTTTGTTTGTTTGTGGGGCACACTCAGAAGTGTTTGGGATCAAATCTGTGTCATCCATATGCAAGGCAAGCACTCTACCCACTGTACTATTTCTCAGCCCCTCTTCTTAAGACTTCAGATGTAATGTTGTTTGTCCTATTTGATTTGGGACCAGTAACTTCTTTAATTTCTTTTTAATAAGTTTTATTGGATCACCGTGAGATAGTTACAGACTATTTCTTCTTTTATGTTTATCTATTTTGAAGTGGAAATGACTTTCTTAGCACCATGAATTTAGACTTTATAGTAGTAAAAATTAAATGTGTTATTTATACACTTCTCATTCTACAGTATTTTTGTTATGGAGTGAAAGTGTCCCACACATTTCAAATGCTTTTTTCATTGTTTTTATCTCCTCTGTTGGGATCATGTCAAATAACATCTTCATACTTTTTGTAATTTTTTGAAAGACAATAACTTCTATTGAAATTTTCTATTGTCTTATTCTGTATATACTTTAACTATAGATTTTTCCCCTTTTGTTTCTGATTTCTCTTTGTTGAAAGCATTCTGTTCATGTTCGTGATTTTTCTGATTGAAATGAGTTGTCTGTATTCTCTTAGCACTCATGGTGTTCCTTAAAATGACTTTTTATAATGACTTTTAATTCCTTTTTAGGCAATGTATACATCCTCATTTCTTTGGTTCCTGAAAGTTTAGTTTTATTTATGGCTTCCTATTTGCCTGCTTTTTCACGTAGCCTTGAACTGACATCTGCACTTTTTTTTTTCTTCTTGGGTCACACCTGGAAATGCACAGGGGTTAATCCTGGCTTGTGCACTCAGGAATTACTTCTGGCGGTGCACAAGGGACCATATGGGATGCTGCAAATTGAGCCCAGGTCAGCCACATGCAAGGCAAATGCCCTACCCGCTGTGCTATTGCTCCAGCCCCCAACATCTGCACATTTTGAAGGCACAAAAAATTCTTCCTGTATAGATTGATTTCAACAGGTACATACTATACCCCTCTGGTCCCCAAAATGAGTGAGACTGTGTCTAGGGTCATAGTGAAGCAGAGGACGGCTTGGTTCACAATATACAGCTGCTTCCAAGTCCAAACTTGGGTTCTTGCTTGGCAGGCCTGATTGTTTTTCAGACCAATGGAACCATCTTTGGGCATGTAGTCCTTCTGTAAGTTGCTCGGGTTATGGGTCTGTTTCTACAGGCTCAACTCTCCAGACGTAGGTCTGGTACCAGAGACTTTGAGGGATGTGTTTTCTGTGGAATTCTTATGTGGACAGACCCCATCCTCTCAAACAGCTCCAGAGAATGGGTATCTGAGTCATAGGGGTGGTTCAGGTCTACAGTCAAGGCTGACCAGTGAACCAGATTTCAGGCCCATCCCAGTGAGGTGGGCAGGGTAAGCAAGTATGACATTGGACCCACATCATAATGTGCTCCCACAATTGAGACCAAGGCTGATGGTCCTGTTACCAGGAATCTCTGAAAATCCCTAGATAATCAGGATGAATCCTGGCCTATAGAGCAGGATCCCAGTTGCAAAGTGCTAGAGCCAAGTCCTAATGCTGCTTCCACATTTTCAGTCAGGTTTAAAGTTGGCAGGTGTGCCACAAGGAATGCAGTTCTTCCCAGCTTTCTCGCGAGTGGGACTGGTGACAAGACTGCATGGAAACAGGGAGGAGTCACTAAATGGACAAGACTAATTTGCAGTGAGTCGACATTGGAATGGGTCGGCTCTCTTAAGGCAGCTTTCCTTACGCTGAGATTGTCGCAGGTTATACAAATCAGGGGGTTTCCTGCCTACCTAAGTCCTAAAGCATCTACAGAGGCACTTTTGACCAGAGGCACTTTCAAATCATTGTCTGGGGGAACATGAGATCAGTACCTGATGTTCTGTCATTTTGCTCCGTTCAATTTACTTTTGATTAAATATATTGTGGGTTTGATTTATGATATTCCCATCTGGTTCATTTTAATAATTTTTTTCAGATGAAATAGATCTAATAACATGTTCTTGCCATAATTTCTTAAGCATTCTCTAGATCTTTCTAATTTTTTTCAATTCCTCTAAAATTGGATCATCTGTCAGGTTTAAATATTATGGAATACACTTTCTTGCCTCATCTTGTATCATTCTTATTTACTCTGCACTTTTGTTTTCAGACAATATCTGAAAGAATTATTCAAAGAAGGAATTAATCAAACTTCACTCTAAGTTAAGTTTATCTGGAACGAAAAAGTATCTTTTTTATTGCAATTTCTACCCTTACTAGTAAATCTATTTTACTCTATTTGTATACTATTTAGATAATAAATATTATCTTTGCTAATCAGTATTAGGAGAGATTTTGATCTAAAATTTGATCACTAGTGTGTTTTGGGTTTTAGTATGACTAATAATTTTCAATAACTCATTCCTTTGATTTATGTAGTATTTCATATTTATATGTTAACCCAATGTACTTATTATGCTTTTTAAAAATTATTTCTTGTAACATATGGTGGTCTTGTAAATAATGCATTGATATAAATCAAAGTTGAGTAATCAGCTAAATCAAGAAAATGACAAAGTCACTATTTTAAAGGAGATTTTTGTATAGCTTCTAAAAGGAAATGTATGTTTTACAATAGTAGTTAAGAATGGATGCACTAAAAATCTAGGTGTTCCTTGGTACCCATATGGTCCCTGAACCCACCAGGAGTGATCCCAGAACACTGCTGGATGTCACCCAAAAGCAAACAAAGAAAGGAGTGGGGACTATTTTGCATGTTGATAAAGGCAAGAATTAATGAACTAAAATTTGTTTCTATGTTCTAGGAAATTGTTATTCGTCAGTTAAAATGGAGAATGGTATATATATATATTAATTTATGGCTTCAGTATAACATATATACCTTCTAGCTCAGGACTATAGACCAATTATATTAGAGGAGTGTTGCACAAGATAGATTATTACATATTTTGTCTTTTAAGTGATATGACTTATCACTTAAAAGATCTAATCACTCATTTTTTGATTTTCAAAAAAATGAGCTAATCCTCAGTGTTTTGGGTTTATAGCTCATTAAACAACTCTATCATTGAAACTCTTCACCATCAATATCACTTTATGTATAACATGAGAAAGATTCTGAGAAAATCACATTTTCTAAAATTAAATCAAATGTCTGTAAGCTGAGTGTGATTGATAAATTGTTCATGATGTTAGTGTGGTGTAAGCTGTATGTACTGATTGATAGAGGTGCAAACTGGAAGGAGGAGAAGCTGTGATCTAGCTGAGTGACTTCCTCGTAGGATGGTGACTCTCACAAAATCAGCTAAACTGATGGCCTCCTCCTCTACTTTAGTGCATGGAATACAATTTAGGATCTTCCATTCAAGAGACAACTGCTACATAAAGGCAAGATGTATTATCACTTATTTGCTTGGGATTGTTGGCTATTTGCAAAATAAAGAGTTCAGGAAGAAAGCAAGCGAGTCACTGAAATGACAGCAGTGGCAGTGAAGAAAATAACTGATGTTACAAGAGCTAGAAGAGCTGGGAGGTCTCAGCGATTCGTGAAAATAGAACCAGTGTTACACTTTATGCTTAATATGTTACTGACCTATTTTCTTTTGATATTTTCCCACAGGTCAAAATCTGAAATGAGTTAATTTTCCTTCAAATGAACAAATTGCTCTTAGGAAACAAAGGTAAGCAGCTACTTTTGTGCTTCTGAAATTCTTGTGTGTTTCATAAACTATAAATAATGTCAGAATGTTAAAGTCTGTAAATTATTCTCTCAGAGACCCAGTGAATAATAGTTTTACATTTTTCCCCTCTGCGTACCTCTATATGTTTCAAAGAATCCTCACTACTCTTTCTTCCCTTCTTTTAGTCTGTGTTCTAAGTAACCTAATATTAGAGGAGAGTCCTTGCCATATTTATTTTTACCATTTTGCATTAGTTTAAAAAATAAAACCCTAGTAAAATCCAAGTATGTTATGTGCATTTTTAAAATCTACCTGGAGATTTCAGAACAATTATGCTGCTCCTTGTATTTTGTTTTGTTTTGTTTTGTTTTGGAGTCCCATCTTGCAGTGCTCAAGGCTTACTCCTGGCTCTGCATTCAGAGATAACTTCTGGTAGTACTCAGGGAATCTGATGAGGTGCTGGGGATTGAACCTGGTTCGCCGGGTATAAGGCAAATGCTCCACCCTCTGTACTCTCGCTCCATCCTAATTTAGTTTTATTTTCAATGTATTTACTATATTATTTTTCCTACCTCATATTTTAAATTTTAGGTGATTATCATTTTCCCCATAAATTTGATATGTTTAACTAGACTAATTCAAGGCCATGGTTTTATTAGTCACTATATCTAAGATCCACTAGTCATATACAAAATAAAATGTTTACTGTTGTTTTATAATGCAGTAAACATACCCAGAATAAGCCTGGCTATGAACATGCTTATTTTTTCGAAGGGTGCTTGTCTGGATCAATGATGAGAAAAATTGTCTGAGGACGCTGAGGGACTCATTCCAGATGTCAATCTGAGGTCCAGATGAGTGACCACTAATAAGATGAATAAGACTCACAGAGCCTAGTCGAGTTGGTGACCAAGTACCCTATTAGTATGTTTTCATCCAGAAACACGCATTGGGACACCCTACCTAACAAAGCTGTATGTTTCTGTAGGCATTAGCAGTGAGCCTAGACTAGCTTCAGGTTGAACAGAGTTATAGCCATACTCTAGAGTAATGCATTTAAAAAGACTGAAGACAAGGATGGACACAGGGTTGGACAGTGAAAGACTCATTTATTTGGGACAGCAAAGGAATACTGAATGTTTATTCTAGATTCTTACAATGGAGGCCAGTTTAGTTCTTTATTATTCTGACTGCTGAGCATTTCTAAGACTGTCTTTTTTTTTCTTTTGATGTGTTCTGCGGAGATAGGAAGGCTGGGATCAGATCTTCTACTTCACTAGGTAAGTAACTACACAAGTATTCTTTTAAATTCCTATGTTGTATATACTATAACCAGAACTGAGGTTTCTATACTCAAATTTTCAAAGGACTTTTCAATGATATTTTTATGTGTTTTTCCCTCACTGAGACCTAGTCAGGCTTACATACATTATAGGCCTCTTAGAACTTTTTTCCATTTTAATTCTTTTTTCTACTTGAACAAAATATTGAATTTTAGAGGATCTGGGGATGGTTACGTATTGGTCCCCAAAACTGTAGTGAAATCTAAATATGGCAAGACATTCTTAGATCTTCCTCATCTGTTTACTTAACGGGATTGCAGATGCAGACTGTGTGATTCAGAAGGTCTTTGTGTCCGTATTGTATTATATTTCTGCTTTCATCTTTGAGAATTGACATTCGTGGTTTCTCAGTCTGAACCATGTAAGTTATTTATAAAATTGCTAAAGCTAATTCTAAGCTCTAGTCTTAGCTCATTTATATAATTGTTAGAACTAAAATGTATAAAATAGTTTGATTTCTAGCACTACATTGGGCTATAACGGTATATGGAAAGAGAGCAAGTGGAGAAACATGGAACTGTCATATACAGCATCATTATTTCTTAACAAAATTTCAAATATGTATCACAAAGAGTGGTTTTATCTGTGATCTAATGAGTAATGTCCTAGGGATAATTTAAAAAAAGAAAAAGAAAGCTCAGTTACTAACAGTCTTAGACTAAAGAGGAAGTTAGTGGGCCAGAGGGAGGGACTGCTCATGGCTTACGCCACTTGCCTTGCACACAGCCAACTCCACTTTTATCCCCAGTGGTTCTGGGTTTTGCCCCCAAACTAACATAATAATTTTTATAAATAGGAAATTTGTTGTGCTAATGAAATTCCTTTAGATCCTCAATTATTAACAAACTTTTTTTTATAAAGCCCATTCTCACTAAACTTTGTTACCATTAGTAGATCCAGAGATTCCTTGAGTAGGAACTATTGTCTCAAGCTAAAGAAAATAGAAAAACATTGTTGTACTTATACTCAGCAAATTGTCTCTATTATTTATCTAAGTAGTATAGGACTGACATGGAAAAAGATTATGACTAGAATAGCACAGACCTCCCTTTTATCCCAAAGCGTTTGCCTTCTGAAAATGTATCTATCTGAGTTTTGTAAGTTTATAAAAGTTGAATTATGTAGTTTTACTTTTTTTGTGACTTTATCATTTGCTCAAAATTCTAGCCTGATGAACATTTATTTGAAACATCAAACCCATTGTTGTAAGTTTGTTAGTCATATGCTCTTCTCATTTTGTATGTCTTTTAGATATTAATATATTCTCATTCTTTATTAATCTTGATGAGGGCTTCAATCATATTCAAATCACTATTTGTGTTTTCTTTGTTTTGTTTGGGGGTTGTTTCATTGTGCGGGGATCAAACCCAGGGCACACATGTGACAGGCATGCTCTCTGCCACTTTAGCTACAGCTCAGTCCCATTTTATATTTTTCACTCTTAACCTCATTAATCTTCCCTTTTAATCTTCTGCAGTTGACTTTGTGAAATCCAATTTATTGATTTTTACCTTCTTCTTTTCTGCTATCTCGCTTAGCCTCTTAATTTCCCAAAAGCACCTCTCTGCTGCATGAGCCCGTTTGACATTTGCACCTTTTCTCTTACTTATAGAAATTTCAAGTTTTTCTTCCTATGTTGATTACTTGGAAAGGTATTTCTTTATATCCAAACATTTGGATATTTTTCTACTATCCACTCTATTTTGAGATTACTTCATTCACATATGCTATGTAATTTTACTAATCTGTGATCTGAAAATATGCATGATACAGACTATGATGAACAATTTGAATGCATGCACTTTCTGCATGCATATTACGATAGAAAATTCAAAATGTCTCCAGCATATTAATGATTACTATTTTAGCTCGAGGATTATTACCTTAAAGAGAGACATTCTCTCAAATCAATATTATAGTATAATATAATACTGTCAGTAATACCAGAATAGTTTTTTGCTTTCAATGACTAAAGTCAAATTTTGAGGACTGAGATTCAGTAAATATGCTATGAAAACATTCTGATGAATCTGAATAATTCAAACAAGTTTTTTAAGTCTGATCATTAATTCAGGAAGGATATGTGGACAACATTGAAGAAATCAATCCAGGTAACTTGAAGAAAAGGAATTTTTAAGATTCTGGATATTATGTGTGTTTCTTCCCAAATTTAAAAAGATGTTTATTTGATTTATAAATTTTTCCTTTCATATATTTGTTCTTAGTGTTGGCAGTAAATGCTTGTGCATAAACAAAGACAAAAATACAGATTTAGAAGATATGGTCACAGGTTAAAGTAGTAACTTAATCATTTTAATCCAGTATGAAAAATGGGAGATACATCATAGACATTATTATCACCCCACTGAATGCTCTAATAGCTACCAATATACTCATTTTTGTACCAACCACCTTATAAATATTTTATATTTATCCACAGGATAGTCTACACATGTCTTTGTTGTACTTACAGAGTCAAACATTTATATGCAGCTCTGTATACACATATATCTAAGGAACATCCTCTAGATCGGCCAGAGTATGGGACCTGATTACTTACCAAAACCATGATGGAATAAAGATCGAAGCAATATTAACTAAAGCTCTTGATTTCACAAACCATATATAAGAAGGTTTGCTCATTTCCATTAATACTTTTAAAGCATTTTTTAAAAGTCTAAAAGAAGTTAACTATTATTATTTGGGACTATCTTGCACATTGATAAAGGCAAGAATTAACAATACTAGAATGTGTTTTACTTTGTCTTAAAAATAAAGCAAAACTTCATAAAGTCATATCTAGTGATAAATTCAGTAGCGGGTTCTTGACAGTAATGTTACTATTCCAATGTGGAAAAATATTGCTTAAAACAGTACACTGTTTAAAGCAAGTTTATACAGCATCTTATTTTGTTGCTGATCACTTGACAATCATTCCCTGCAACATTATTTATACATTGTCACCTGTGTCTGTCAGCAGTGCTTTTTCCTTGAGAGCATATTAACAACATTTCCCATATTGTCGGTGTAAGTAAAATAGAGCTGAGGTGAGAACACAGTGGGTAGTGCACTTAGGATTACATGCTATTGACCTGGGTTTTAACCCTACCAGGGGTGACTAAAAATGGGTTCAATACACCACATTTTCACATTAAAGAGAGGTCTGGTGTTTCATTTAAGTATAAAGTGTTCACATAAGCTAGACCATTAGTGTTGTGATACTGAAAATTAATAAGGGAAGACATGGACAGTGAATGTAAGATAAAGACATGGAAAATTTTGTTTCGATATGGCTGCTCTTTCTATATTTTCTAAATTAATAAGGTAAAGGCCCTCCCGTTGATCGTCGATTTGCTCGAGCGGGCCCAGTAACGTCTCCATTGGAGACTTGGTTGTTACTGTGTCTGGCATATCGAATACTCTCGGTAGCTTGCCGGGCTCTCCGAGAGGGGCGGAGGAATCGAACTCGGGTCGGCCATGTTGGCCGCTTGTAAGGCGAACGCCCTACCCGCTGTGCTATTTGAATTTTTCTTCTGCTGCCATTCTTGCACATAGAATAACAGTATAATGGTATCAGGGAACAAAAATAATCAGCTTCCTGTGCCACAGATATTCTTCAACTAAGTCTACAATTTGAAATCTAATAAATATGAGGGCGTTAGGAAGACAGGACAAGAGGTAAGGTGCTTGCCTTGATGAACTGCAATCACAGTTTGAATCTCTAACACCACACATGGCCAGGTCCTGACCACTGCTGGGGTGTGGTCCACCAAAAAGGAGAAAGAAATATGAGGAAAATAGCTTGTAAATTGCCATGTTTGAACTAAATATAAAAAATAGGGACTAGAATTAGTATAGGGCTCACCCAGATTCTATCCCCAGCAACGTATGTGATCCCTGAGCCTGAGCATGGAATCTCTGGAATGGCCCCTGGATTCTACCACCCATCCATCCCTGAGAAAGTCTGTATTAGAAAGGAAGAAAAGTTTCAAACCGACCAATGATCTTATCTCCACCTTAGCAAACTTAAATGTAGAAAACTAAACCCAGAGAAAAAGGCAATTGCAAAAGAGCAACGGTCACGGTCACAGTCCTCCCGTTGTTCATCGATTTGCTCGAGCAGGCCCAGTAACGTCTCCATCATGAGACTTCTTGTTACTGTGTTTGGTATATCGATTACCTCACGGGTAGCTTGTCAGGCTCTGCCGTGCCGGCGAGATACTCTCGGTAGCTTGCCGGGCTCTCCAAGAGGGGCGGAGGTATCGAACTCAGGTTGGCCATGTTGGCCGCTTGTAAGGCAAATGCCCTACCGCTGTGCACGTCAAAAGAGCAAAATTAATAAAATTTACACTAAATAGAAAAACTGGTCAGTTATTTACCAAATAATATTGGTAAAATTCTAGGAACCAAAAGACCATTCTCTGGATCCATGAAAAGCAACATCATTCAAGTTTTTATGGGCAGTTATAGGAGATAATGTAGGCCACACATGTACTTTAATTTTATTTTTTTTGCTTTTTTTTGAGGGGGAGGTACGCCTGGCAATGAACAGGGATTGCCTCCTGGCTTTGCACTTAGGAATTACTCTTGGGATGCTGGGAATCGAACCTGGGTTGGCCGCATGCAAGACAACACCCTACCTGCTGTACTATTGCTCCAGCCGCAAGACATGTACTTTAAATATGCTCCCTGCAGTATTTCTGGCACCATATCACCCCACCACCACCAGGCTGCTCCAGAGAATGTCTGAGAGGTTACTACAGTGAAAAGGCTACACAGTTTAAGATGTATGATGGTAGTTTCGACAACTTGTATAGAAAAACCATTGAAGGACTAAAGTTAAATAATTTAATCAAGAAGTAGGTCATCTGGAAAGTTCTATTTCAATGGAATAAATGGAATATGTAGCCCAAATCTTTTCCAGATATATAAAAATA